TGGCATTTGATGAATCTTGTAATGTTGTTTCTAGTGATTCTTTAGAAACAAATTTTGGAGATTTACTTGTTAGTGACAAAAGTAAAGAGATTACTTCAAGTAAGTAAGAGGTGAGCATAAACGAAAATAAGGTGGACAGTTCTTCATCCATGCCTAAGGAGTGGAAGTATGCTCCATCTCATGCTAAGGATTTAATCCTTGGTGATCCCGAGCAAGGTGTGAAAAATCGTTCCTCTCTTAATATGTTTAATAATATTGCTTTTGTTTCTCAAATCGAACAAAAAAATTTTAAAGATGCCGAAGTGATGAATTTTGGATTTTAGCTATGCAAGAAGAATTAAATCAATTTGAAAGAAACAAAGTTTGGGAATTAGTCCCTAGGCCTTCTAATGCTTCTATAATTGGGATTAAATGGGTCTTTAGAAATAAAATGGATGAAAATGGAAATATCATTAGAAATAAAGCTAGACTTGTAGCTCAAGGTTATTGTCAAGAAGAAGGAAATAGATTATGAGGAAACCTTTGCACCTGTTGCTAGATTAGAAGCCATTAGAATGTTACTTGCTTTTGCTTCTTATAAGAATTTTATTTTGTACCAAATGGATGTGGAACAACCTCCGGGATTTGAAAGTTTTGATTTTCCAAATCATGTTTTTAAGTTGAAAAAGGCTCTTTATGGTTTAAAACAAGCTGCAAGAGCTTGGTATGATAGACTTAGTATTTTTCTTATTGAGAATGGTTTTAAAATGGGTAAAATGGATACTACTCTCTTTATTAAGTCTAAAGAAAATGATATGCTTCTAGTGCAAATATATGTGGATGATATTTTTTTTGTTCTACTAATCCTTCTATGTGTGAAGAATTTTTTAAATGCATGCATAATGAGTTTGAAATGAGTATGATGGGAGAACTTAGCTTCTTCCTTAGACTCCAAATCAAACAGCTCAAGGATTGTATCTTCATAAGTCAAGAGAAATACACAAGAGATTTGCTCAAAAGGTTCAAATTCAATGAAGGTAAAATTGCCAAAACTCCTATGAGCACATCCACTAAGCTTGACAAGGATGAGAAAGGTAAATGTGTGGATGTAAAGACTTATCGAGGTATGATTGGCTCTTTACTTTATTTAACCGCTAATAGACCCGATATTATGTTTAGTGTATGTGTTTGTGCTAGATTTCAATCTTATCTTGAAGAATCTCATGTGCATGCCGTTAAAAGAATTCTTAAATATTTGCTTGGAATTATTGATTTAGGCTTGTGGTATCCTAGAATGTTGAATTTAATTTGGTAGGATATTCCGATGTGGATTTTGCGGGTAGTTTACTTGACTGAAAGAGTACTAGTGGGACTTGCCAATTTTTTGGTAGTTCCTTAGTTTCTTGGTTTAGTAAAAAGCAAAATTCGGTTGCTTTATCCACTACCAAAGCGGAATATATTGCGGTTGTTAGTTGTTGTGCTCAAATTCTTTGGATGAAACAAACTCTTTGTGATTTTGGATTAAAGTTTGAAAATGTGCCTATATTTTGTGATAATACAAGTGCCATAAATTTGACTAAAAATCTTATACATCATTCTAGGACTAAGCATATTGATATTAGGCATCACTTTATAAGAGAGCATGTGCAAAATGGTCATATTACTCTTGAATTTGTAAGCTCAAATAATCAATTAGCGGATATTTTTACCAAGCCTTTAAATGAAGAATGTTTTTGCAAAATTAGGCTTGAGCTTGGTATTATTCGTTGTGATGCATCTTGATTTTGTATTTGTTATTTTTTTAAATGCATATTGATAGGGGAAGCATTTATGCAAAATTGTATTCATGTTTTTAAGGGGAGTTTTTTATGTTATTAATTATTTTTGTTCTTTTTGATGATTCCCAAGGGGGAGAAGTTTAAGAAAATTTTGATCTAAAATTGTTTCATGATTTATTGGTTTATTAATCCATGGATGTAACAATTAAGGGGGAGAAATTAATCTTTGAATGGCTTTTAAGTATGATATTTTGGATTTACTATGATGATTATTAAATGTCTATGTATTTTTCTTTGGAAGTTTGTCATAATCAAAAAAGGGGAGATTGTTGGCTTTTTGGCCCTTAATCTCAAATTAATTAATTCTAATTAATTAATGTTTTGATGATAACAAACTTAATTTTTATTTATTTATTGATAATTTTAGTTTTTTAAAGTGTCCACTGYGTAGAGCTCGTTACAACGATTCCAACGACTATTGGATCATTCAAATCGGAGCTCAGACGGCGAAGTTACGATCGAAACAAGAAAAGAAAGGACCCGAGAAGATGACGTGGACAATTCGTAGGTTCACAAATGACAAGCTTGTTTTGTTAATATATATATATAGAAAAGGAAAAGAAAATAAATGGTAAAAAAAAGTTACCGTTGTAACTTTAAAAAAATATAAAAGAAAAATTAATTACATCATGTCAGCATTAAATTCTGACATGTGTCAGTTTATAACAAAAAAAGGTTTTGAAAATTTTTTTACCGTTTCTCACATATATATATATATATATATATATATATATTATTTTATTATTATATAATTATTAATTCTTTTTTTCAAATTTATCTCAACCCTTCATTTTTAATAATTAAAATCTAATGGTCCAAAATTAAACTTGATATTTTTTACCATTTTCTTCCCTCTATTTAAATTCAACTTCTCCTTCAAAATCATACAATTTCTCTTATTCTGAATCCTTCRTAACTTCAAAATTCTCATTTGCTAATCTCTACAAGTTCTCAATTTTTCTTTTCATCTTATTTGTGAGAGAAATTTATTGTTGTGAGGATTGAATTTTTGTGAGCTCAAATTTGTACATGTACTCTATTTGAGAGTTTGTAAGTGTGTTTCGAAATTTTCAACTCATTGTAACGGTGTGATCCTCACTGTGGAGAGGATTATCTTTGCTCTTGTGAAGAGCAGTGTACCAATTTGACCCCTACCGTGGAAAGAGTCAGAATTTCAATTTACAACCCAAAAGATGCTTGGGAAGTGGAGTAGGACAGTTATGCCGAGCCACTATAAAAATTATCGATGTCAAATTTCTCTAACCCTCTCTTATTTATTTTTACAATTAATCTTAGAATTTTATTGTTTGCTTTAAATTTCTCTTGTTTGCCTTAGAATTTATTTAATCTTACTTTGTTAAAATAGTATATCTCAAAAAGTTTATTATTTTGTTTAAATTGAACTCATATTAAACCCTATTCACCACTCTCTAGTGTTGCCATACCGATCCAACAGTTTGTGCAAGGGACTTTGTGCTTGGTAGAACCAAAATTTGTTCTTCCTTCTCGAATTACCATTGCTAGAGATATTTTAGGTATATACACCAGTAGAAACTCGGGCTTCAGTGACAGTTAAAAACTGTCATTAACATAATTCGTGGCAGTTTTTTTTTTTTTGTTATCTATTAAGGCATCAAGAAAGAGGAGAAGATGACAAATTTGAAAAATTGTCATCAATGCATTTACAAGTACAGTTATACTTTGTCACGAATAGATCTTCCATCACAATTAATAAATGTCACAAAAACTCATTTAATTACAGTTTATAACTGTCTCTAAAACAATGAAAGATTTTATTCTCCTGTCAATAAAAACTTAATGACGACAGTTTATAAATGTCACGAAATATTTTTTAACGACTGCTGATAAACGTCAATAAAAACGTAACAACGACTATTTATAATTGTCACGAAAACTTTTATAGTGATAGTTTTAACGGTCAATATTGGTAGTTCTAACTGTCATAAAAATCCTTATATTGACAATTTTTAACTGTCATTAAAATATTTATATTGACAATTTTAACTATCACGAAAACTTTATATATGACAATTGATTAATTGTGATAGTTTTTTATGTCACAATTTGTGTTTAATAAAGGTTTATAATGTCAATAAAATTTTATATATGACAATGTCATAACATCCATGAAATACATTTTAATAACACTGTACACGTTTAAAAGAAATTCTCTATATCTATAAATTATAAAATGTAACAAAGTTGCATATAATAAGATCAAAGTCTGATCAAATTTGTACATTATGATATTTTGTACAAATACTATACTATAAGTGTAACGCCCCAGGCCCAGGATTCGGAATCCGATTTCGGCACCTCTCTGCCCCGGCATTCCCCTGTGACCTGGCTGCGCCACCATCAAGTTCGAAGCCACTTAGAAGAGCATAGACTGCCCCTACAGACCAACACGAGTCCTTCCAGCATGTTTTGTCCTCACTCACATGCTTCCTAGTAAAGCAACTAGGAGGTCACCCAACCTAAGATTGCTCCAAGCCAAGCACGCTTAACTTTGAAGTTCTTACGATTGAGCCACCGAAAAGGAAGGTGCACCTTGTTTGTATAGGTAGTGACTCAATTCTTTTTAATCCTTTCTTGATCATTCTTCAATAATCTCAGGATCCCTCTCATTCGGATGTGGTATCGGTTTATTCATGTACCCCTCCTCTCGGGCGTCACAATAAGTCTAGGACTACAATAAGAGAATGCCCAACGAACTATATTCACATTACATCAACCTCGTACATGTCGAAAGTATGCCGAAACTCTTCCCTATACATTCTCCTCAAAATGTTGCTCCCACAAGCTACTCCTTCAACAAAATAAAACGAACAATTAAGAAAATATTAATATTAACTCCCAAATTTTCTTTCTAACTCCAACATGCATTATGGAATGACACATATAACCCCTAAGTCTTAATTGACTATCTTTTCTGTATGATAACCACACAATTATCCAACTAAATTTTAAACTATATGCATGACACAAATATAAACACTAAGTCTTTGACTATCTTTGCTACAGGATAGCCACACAATTATCTAACTAAACTTTAAACCGCACAATTATCCAACTAAACTTATATGCATGACACATAAACACTAAGTCTTAATTGACTATCTTTGTTGTAGGATAGCCACACAATTATCCAACTAGACTTAAACTATACGCATAGCACAAATATAAACACTATATAAAACCAATCACAAGTGAGTAAATGTTAGCATTCTAGTTTCACCAAGTATTCTGTAAATGTTAGCATTCTAGCATTCTACATAAAACAAATCATGAAAAAATTAACATTGAAACCGGTCACCCAAATGCTAAATGATGCACTTAGAACATGATAAAGAACCAACAAGCACTACAAGAAAATTAAGTATTTTCAAAGTCACAACCTTTGAAAAAGTATAAAATAAACATTCGATAAATCTTTTTTCGAAGGTTTACTCAACCGTCCAAAAGACTAACAATAATAAAATATACATGCTTTCCAAGTCATGACCTATGTAGCATTCAGTTCACAATTAAAATTCAGCATGCAATCATAATAGCAGACAAACATACTAATCATGAAACAATGTCATTTGCTTTCACTATATAATAAATCTCACAAAAATTCAATATGCCTTCATAAATACAACAACTAACATAACTATCCATAATCGAGTAATATATCCAACAATATACTCCCAATAGTTCAACCCAAATACTAAACCTCAACACTATATCATGCCATATACATATTCACTCTCAATAACAGAACATTTAACACAACTTCCATCAACAAGACATAAATACATTTAAAGTTACTATATTCAGTATATCATTCACAATGCATCCAACAACAAGATCAATATTTTAGAATAATTAACAAGAAGCTTAATTTAGCCAAGAGAGATAAAAAGACTACTTACTACGAATATCCTAAATCACACAATTATCCAACTAGACTTTATACTATATATGCATGACACATATAAACATTAAGTCTTAATTGGCTTCTTTGCTGCAGAATAGCCACACAATTATCCACCTAGACTTTAAATTTAACAAGAATGACAATTACATAGATATACATATTTGAAATACTCACAACAAATATCAATCTTATACAAATATCTAAATCATCCCACGATATGTAATTTGGAGGGAGTCAAATGTCAATATCTAACTAACATATATATGTTTCACGTACTAACCCAACAAAGTCCATAAATCAATTAGTCGCAATCATGGTTTTTAACTGTTTTAAGTTCGTGCAATAAATAAAGAAGAAAACAATATCCAGTTAGCTAAATGAATAAGAGAAAATTATATATTATGTGAAAATGAACTCATATGTAAACTCAAACTAACCTGATCATTAACTCTTATCTATAACATCAAACCACACATATATAAATGTAAAGCTGAAATTTCAAGTAAAAAATAAAGATAAGGCCGTAAACCAACCTGGGCATAGTGAAGGTCCAACTTTATATCCTTTCTAAACAAGGGATGCGATGGGTGAATGTGTAACCTAACTCACATATAATAGTAGTTCTTTGTGTCGTGCTAAAAAGTTCCTCTATCTCCAACTTCTACTTTTAAGTAGTTGTTTCAAACTCCTAAAGAACGACCACAAGCTCAAGGAAGCAAATATAATAACAAGAAAAGACATAGTTACTTATTCTTTTTTGGATTTTATGACTTTCAAATGATAGCTTTCTACCAAATGCATAGATACAAGAGCAACAGAAAAAGCTCACTAAAGAAGAACCTACAAGAATTATCTCTTACCAAGCTAGAATAACTGGAACTCAATAGAATGCATACTCTACCGCTACAAAAACTCAATTCTATTTAAGCTTGATCAAACATATTATTCATAAAAATAAGTTTTGATTCCATATTTCAACAAAAATATCTTGAGAAAAAATCCAGCTAAAGCCCCAACTTCAAAATGCAAGAGAGTAAATAGTTGAGCCAGGATGTTTAACACAGTTACATACCTCCTCATTTAGATTTGAGAACTCAAATTTTCCATCCATTCGTCTAGGTCTGGGAAGAGCTTGATCAAGAATGCTATATTCACTCATAATTAATTCAACATGCAACATACAAATCAATGTTCAGCTCATAATAGTCCAGCACGATTCTAGTACATAAACAACATTCTAACAACGAAAATAATATGTCAACATGCTCGCACAATATAGCCATTCTCACAAAAACTCAGTGTGCTTTTGTGAACACAACAATACAATAATATGATTAACAGACCTAGAAACACATCCAACACTTCAATAAATTTTCATAACAGTCAAAACACATCCAACTCACAATATAACAACAGCAATGTGTATAAACTAGTAACAACCGCAAGCAATCATGCAATAACACTTATAGGCACACAAGCAAACAATCCATTCATAGCATCACACAACAAACAATCCCTCAAGTAAAAAACTACTTACAACTCACCTAAACGCTCCTAACTTCTTGAGTCAGATTGAAACCTTGGAAACAAGGTAAAATCAGCATGTTACAAATGACAACTAAAGTTGAATCTAAAAGGGTATTCAAGGGTCGTTACCCACCAAACCTTGCCGAAACGATGGCAAAAGTGTTGGGGCTTGAATAACTAATGCTAACAATCTGCGGGTATCATGGCTTCTTTTGTGCGTGGGTAAGTGTCGAGAGTCACCAAACGTTGTTGTTAGCGTCGGAGAGGGGTGCTGTAGAGAAATTTTATGCTCATGGAATGTTGGCGATCGTCGGAGGGAACGAATATCATGCCAGAACCGCCGCTGGCCGCCAGAGGGTGTCAGGTTAAGCTCAGGCATTCGAAAAACATGGGTGAGTTGGGATTCTCGATGTTGGGCGCCACACGGTAGTCACTACCGGCCGAAGAAGTCGCGCGTCGCCGGATCTGGGTTGTCAGAGAACTGCGTTGCCATGGAAGACAAACCAATCGGGTCGTCAGCCGCTCAGTTCGTGTAATAGCGTCGGATCTAGACGCGGAGGAAGGCGACCATTGGAAAGGGAAAGCCACCATTGAGACCGTCGGATCTGGCAAGAAAACACGAAGCTGAAGTTGCGCCGTTAAAACTAAAACTCAAATTCCAAATTTAAAAGGAGGCCCTCTTAATTTGCTTGAAAACTAAAAAGCTCAATTCTCAATTTTAAAAGAAAGCCCCAACTAAAAACTAACGGTCCAAAATGAAGGCCCAAAAATACACTTCAGTGATAAAAGTAAAACTCACGACAAAAACCATGACAACCCAAACTAAAATAAGATACGAAAATTCAAGTGAATGTCTAAATTTTGGCACCCATTTTAGAATTGATTTTCCACTGGCAACGTCCTATACAAATATAGTATTATACAAGATAATAATGTGAATATACAATTGAAATAAGCGCAAAGAGAATGAATTCATTTTCATGAAGTTCATGTGCAAAACAGCTATACGCTCAGCTACATACTCAAACCCATTAGTCCAGACTTCTTAGAGTTAAAAGAAAACAATCTAATAAAAAATTATACTTAACAATGAACACACAAGTATTAACTATTTACTAAAATTGATGTACTTATAAGTCAAAACATAAGCAAATTTTTATATGCACTTCACTAGAGGAAAAACCAACAGTCTCATTAAGCATTTAAGATGGATGAGAAGTAGGCTTAGCTAATAGTCCTCAAATAAGCGAGCACCAAAACATGGAAAATGAATCTATAAAATTATAAATATCAAAGTGAAGGGATGTGAATCCCGGAGCGGAAACGGACCATCGTTCATGATTTTTGGGAAACAAAATCAAAACGTTCATGAATGAAAATACAAGGGAAAAACTTGTTTTCCTTACCTTTCAAGAACTCTTCTTCAATGATTTTCCGACACTACCAAACGATCCTCTGTGCTATCCTCTTGGATTTCGAGAACACACTTGTGGGAGCACAGGTCTGGATCAGAGGGAGAATTGAGAGAGCCTTGTTAAGAGAGTACTGGGAGTTCTCCTTTTTCTATTTTGCAGAACAGTTCTGCAACAAACTTGAAAAAGAAAAATGACCTAGGGTAACTCCCCACGTCATATTAACTTCCCACTCCCCTACAATTTTGCGGGGAGTTTAATATTAATATTAATATTAATATATATATATATATATATAATTAATTAATCATATTAATTAATTATTAATCTAATTAATAATTAATTAACATATATATATATATATATCAAATAATTAACACTTAATTATTTATCACATAAATAGAATCATATTCTATAGCATTTCTCTCRTATAACMYATAGTTCTAATGTACATCTTATGCACATTATTTTTAACCTATAGTTTTAATATGAATCTTATTCATATTAATTTTATTTGAATCTCATTCAAATAATTTCTCTCATAATATTTTAATTTAGAATTAACTATATATTATAATGTATCAATATACATATAATCTCTTAAGTAATTTGAACAGTTCAAATTCTTCTAAAAAATTGATCCTCGTTTTACCCGTTTTGAGCTAGCAAGGAGACCTAATGGACCTACAGATCA